TAGTTGTGATTGCCCCATAATATTTTCAGTAAACATTATCTCAGGATTTCCCACCAGGCTCCTGACACAAGTTTTTAAAGGTGAGATCACTTCCAGACGGTGGAGTGCCATGTTCATGGCAAGATGGATTTTGCCAGGAAAGATACTCTTAAAGCCCAAAAATTCTTGGCAAGGTGGATTTTGCCAGGCACATTTTCTTAGATGTATGTCAGGAAAAAGGCTGGAAGCATGCCCTGGGCCCCTTTGTTTGAAGAACAGAGGTGTGAAACCCAATCCACAGCAGCCTCGGTTGCAACTTTAAAACAACCACCTCACTGCTTTTGGCCTTTAATGGTCTGTAAAGGTATCACCTATTTTTATAAATACTGAATATTTAATGACTTCATAAAACCTTTAAGTATATACAGTAAATAGGATACGTATAGGAGTCTTTATCCTTCAGATGGAGGAATTATACATAAATTATAGGATAATAGACAAAGGTTAGTTATAAAACATGTATTCTAAAAACTGGACATGGATCTGGTTTGAAGACCCATAGACAAAGAAGTGGGAACCGCTCAGGGTGCCCAGAGAAGAGGCTGAGAGGAGACGGAGAGCGGTACTGCCAGCGAAGCCTTCTTACTGAGGTGAGAAGGAGGCTCAGAAGTGGGCAAGGAGGATCAGGGAGGAGAGAGCCCTGGCTGGACAAGGAGAGGAGAGAGAGAGGGGTCGATGGCAGCATACCTCAGAAACAACAACACCCAAGACACCAACACTTGGGAGCAGGACTCGACAGGTCGACACCAAGGGCATCTGGAGGGAACGGCGTGCCCTTGCTGTCGGTTCCACAAGGTGCCACGTGAATGGACTTCTCCTTGGAGAAAGGTTTTGAACTGTTGGACTTTAATGTTTCAAACCCAATTCAGAAACCAGAACCCCCTTCCTCACAACATTGTGTGAGGAAGATCAGTTACGTATTCCTGTCACTGTTGAAAGTTTCCTAAATGCACCTATAATAAATCATATTGGTACAATAAATAAATGAATGAATAAACATAAAAAAACAACTAGAAATGTAATCTCACTCATGTCATTTGCACGATGGTGTGTCTTTCTCTCCCTCCCTCCAAGGAAAATCGTGAAGGTACAATAACTCTGGGAATATCTTCAGTGCCTTTCTCCTTGCTCCCCCACCCAGGAAACACTGGTTCCCAGGATACATTTTGTGTTCATATTTCATTTTTATTTCAAAAGAAAATAAGGTACAGTATTCCTAAAATAATAAAATGATTTCATTCTCTACATTAAACTCTCTCTCTCTTTTTTTTTTTTTGAGAAAAGGAGGCTGCTTTGGGGTTAACATAAACGTTTATGTGCATGTCACTAGTAGTAGTTGGTTGTATTTATGCCACAGTTTGTCCAAGCTTTCAGGTGTATTACTTCATTAAATTGTTTACAGCGGCAATCAAAATGATTCATAACTTAAAAGGTCAGATGGGAAAGGACCGTCAGGAAGGATATTTCTGTGTCCAGCAATATAAATCCTGTATCTGTGGCTGTGCAGGATTTCACATGCATATGAAAAAATACGTACTTGAAATGTTCTGGTTTCTTCCTCCAATTTTATTTTATTTGTACCTGTCTTCCCCTAACTCTGTACCTCTACTCACAACAAAATGTCTTTTTTTTAGTATCAACTTATTAAAATGCACAGTAACTGCAGAATTTTAACTAGAAGGACTCTGAGAGTCTCGTCTATTTTAATGCTAATGCATAGTTTGGTGGTGACACAGCAGCATGAGGTTTATGCTGAAATGGATTAAATAGTAATAAAAAATACACATGGAGTCTTGTGTGGCCATTTCCCATTGCTTCTGTTGACGGAAGGGAATGAAAAATATGCAGAAAGTTATTGTTAAAGTTGCAATTCATTTCCCAGGTCCATCTTTGAAAGATGAGGACGTCAAGCTCTTGCATGATGATCATTAAGGTTAATTCATACATTGTTCTTTCTCCTTATAATGCTTCAGGAATTAAAAAGGCACAGCAGCAGCTGTGCAATGGTAGTGTGGATCTGCAAAGATACATTTAAACATTGTAAAAGAGCTGTCAGCTTCCCTTTGAGATCAGTGGGAATAGGGATAGCATGAGGAAACTGTTCATCCAATGACGAGACAGACATTTCACTGCTTCCAATGATGAGACAGAGATTACAGCAGTATCCTGTCGGAGGTGGTCAGTAATCTTTTCAAGGAGGAGGGTGGTTAGCAAGACAAAGAGTCACATCGCTATCGTAATTGGTGTATCTAAAAACTGGATAGATAATATGTAAAAAAACCCTGCACTGCCGCTTGTTGCTTGGAGTTTGGAGAACTATCTGCTCCCTCAATTTCTTCCCCAAGAAATGTAGAAGAATATTCAGTGTCAAAGGGCGCCATTTGGTGGTTTAACTGAATGTTGCAGGAGATTGCTCTGAATTATAACCAGACAGAGAAGTTCAGAAAGAAAAGCCTTAAAAATTAACACAAGAAAATGCATACAATCATTCAAAAACCACATGATAACCACTTGATTATAAATTGATTCCACTTACACTGGTGGCATATTCCAATGCATATACCAGTGTAATCGGTCTCTTAGACAGAATTCCTGAAGTCGATTTTCCCTAGATGACGTTCCATTAATTCTTTGTAGTAGCTTCCTTGTGAGTCTTGTATTTTTTCAGGACTGTTCCTGAATGTTGTCAAATGCGTCTTCATTCTTGTTGCACTTTTAAAGACTTCTGTCAACAATATTTACATTTACAAATTCGTTTTACAGTATTTTCAATGTAATGATTCCACACGCTAGTCCTCCTGTGTTTTGGCATTACGACTTAGCTCAAAGTAACAGCAAACACTACAAATCTTATGCAAACACTTGTAACCTGAGCATAGAAGAAATGAGACAATTTGCTGAGAAAAGTGAAATGACTCACGTTCTTAGTTTCAGTTTCACTTTTCAGTTTATTACCGAAGAACCCAAACAAATATGTAATTGCTCAGATATTGTGCTACTTAAGCACATATACTTAGTATCCGTTTCTGTAGGTCATTTTTATTTTCAGATGTCATTTTTTTTTTTAAAGAAAATCAGTTGTCTGATTGGATGAACACAAGTAAAGATGCTGGCAAATGGTCACTGGTCAACTCAAGGAGCAAGAAAATTAAAAACAACACCACGACTACAAAAGGAATTGGATGAAGAGTGGCAGGAGGACCTCAGCGAACATGGTGGAAAGCCAGGAAAGAAGAGGGTGAGAGTGAGAGTGACCAGAGGCAGCACTGGGGAGACCTGCACGACCCTCGCTTTCCACACATGGGAACAAGGAGACTTCAGTCCTTCAGAAACTGTGGAACAGAAGCATGTCCTGTTCCCTCCCTCTGCCCCATTCTGCCTCTTGCAGTTGCTACAAAGCAGATAGAAAGGTAAAAATATAATTTCTATAAGGTAATCCTCGGTATTTGGAAAGCCTCGGTGAATGCAGAGAGTTCTCGGTTTTGGACTCGCCATTATGATGGCCAGTAAAAATTGAATTAAAGCCGGTATGTGTAGAGGTGCATCTTCCAATGCCTACCCCCTGCTTGGAGGATTTCCCCCATACCAAGCATCATAAAACTGTTTGAACATCTGCCCTTGCCATGGGACCCAATCTTGAGTTAGATCCAGAGACGTTAAAAGTAGAACTTACCTTGTCCATTTGGGGATTCCTGGCTCTTCCTCTTCCACCCCCCCACCGCAGTTCTCTGAGCATCCCAAAACTTCATCAAAGTTGAGGGACCCTTGGAACAAAATCCCATGCAGGCATGGGGAGCTTCACTATGACCTGGAAGGCTTTGTGGAATGGCTTTGTGGAATGCCTAGAAATGGCTTTCTGCCCAATTTAAGTCAACACTGTATCCAAGCCATAAGGCTTCTTTGTTTTTTGAACAATTTGTTGCTTTCTTAAACTTTGGAAGGAGAAAATGGATTATGTGTGTTTGATCTATATTAAGCAGGAAGAATACCCAAAGCTGAGCTATGCATACCATACTTTTAAAAGTGAATGCTGACACTCTGGATTAGTATCTGTAAAGTGAAGACAACTCAGAAAGGTTAATCAGAGTCTGGGACTCAGCAGGGACAGGAAGAAGTGGCCCTCCAGATGTCAGGGACTTGCAACTCCATTGGTCATACAGATTACAATTAATAGAAGCTCCAGTCTAACTCTCAAAGATGATGCCTTTCCCACACCTAGCCCTCAGGTTCTGTCCACTGTACGTCCTGCAACAATCCTTCCCATGCATAAATGAGACTTTCTTCCCAAGCTGAAGTGCAGGAAGGAGGAAGGGTGGGGGGCAGAGCTACCTTCTGGAAAAGTATACAGCTGGAGAAGATCAACTCTCCTTACTCCTAAAGCATTACTTCCAAGCTGTAGCAATCCCACATAAAACACAGCAATAGCTGCGGGTTCATTGACTATTTTCCAACTGCTGATGGACAATTAAAAAAACCACATTCAACATCACATTCAGTAGTAACTTCAGCCCTGGCTCAAGTGCTAATTCTCTACTTGACCAGCCAAACTACAGCTTTAAACAAATAACGCCTGACAGAAAAGTGGGGGCACGGGGGTGGGGCACCGTCACAGGGAGGGCAAAGGACTCTTGTTAACAGAATTCTGTGCCATGACAACTCTTACAGAAGGGAACAAGATGTTGCAGACCCTATTAAAACGCAAGACCAATAAAGAGATTCAAGAGACAAAAATCTACAGTTTGAAGACCATTTATTGAAAGCACAAACATTAACCTACAGAGATGCTTGGGTCCATTTAAAAAAGTCCTTGCTGGCGACCCATCATATTAGTATTATCCCAGCCAATTTCTGAGGAAGACCAAAGCAAATATTTCAGCACACAAACCACTGTTATCTGGCATTAGGAAAGCCATTATCAAAAACGGGCATTATGCTCCCTGAAGAGCAGATAAAGGAGCAGTACCATGAATGGACAACTCAGGCTTCGCTATCTTCAAGTGTACATTGTGGTACACTATGGATATGAAGGAAAACGCAAAATGCAACTGCACTTCTGAAAAGGGATGCTAGTAGCATCAATCACTCTTGCACACCCTCTTCTCCAAAAAGAAAAGAACAAGATCGAATCTTCTCCTCAATGTATATTGCCTCCACCATTTTAAATGGAGATCTGTCCTGACACAGATCACCTCCTATCCTTTGTCGTTGAGGACCCAAGTCAAACATCTTTAATCTCGCCAGTCCAAGGCCCAGGACAAATTCTCAATTGCTGAAGACCAAAATAGAGCAGTCTCAGCAATTCAGAGATTAGACAAGTCAGTCCTATACATATGCGCGTGCGCAGACACATGCACTCTCTCTCACACACACACATACACACCAGATTCACTGCTGAATTCAACATCTTGAAGAGTTGGTTGTAAAAAGCAATTATTTTCTCTCAAAGAGAAAAGCTAATGTCATTGGCACGGCTTCTGCTGGAAGTAGGAATTCTAGATCAGAAGCATGCCCTTTCCATAGCAAAGCAGTACTAGCCCTTTCTATCCTTAGCTGAGTACCAAGGCATCAAAGCTAAACTTTTTGCAACACTCCCTTTAGCAGTTACACATTTTTCCTTCTTATCATCCCTGGAAGAAAAGCATGTAGAGTAATAGAGGACCGATATAAAGCTACCAGATAAGTCTTAGTGCTCTGAATTATTGTGGTGCTTCTTAGGAGAAGAAAATTCAAAAGAAAGAGAATAAAGGCTAAAAAAAAATCTTTCAGCAGCAGAAGGGGCAGGAACATGCCTCATTCCAATCACAGTAGCACCTGTTCCTAAGGCACCTCTGAATCGAGCCTGATGCAGAACGGAGGCCAAGGGCCAAGCCTTTTCCGGGTTAGAGTCCTTCCAACTCTAAATCCACCCTCCGCTATAAATAAAGGAGCACCTGAAGTTGATGTTGATGTTCTTCTTCTTCTTCTTTTGTTTGCCTGCTGCCTGAACAGCCCAATTTCTTCTACTTTCTCTTGTCCCAAATTTCAGCTTCCACAAATGGTGATCAGCATCCTAACTGCTCCCCCCATAATATGTGGAGGTACACTGCCCCCCCTCCCTTACCCTGACTATCATTTAACCTATCTGTAGGGAGAGTAGGCAAAGTGGCAGAAAAATTTGACAGTCCTGAGCTTTGGCAACATGGGCAGTCAAGTTCTTGGTTGCTATGTCCAGACTCTCCTCTTGTCTTCAAAGAGGCTTTTCAACATATACACTTGGAGGAAAGACACCACCAGCAACACACTAAGGTTGACCGCTGACCAGAAGTTGACTCGGCTTAGGTTGCTTTCCTGCAAATTGCGATCTCGTGCTTCAAACGCTCGTAGTAATGCCTGCATTTGAATGCTTCGCTCCAGACGGCTCTTCATGGTTTCAATAGATTCCTATAATTGTAAGAACAAAGGTTCAGCAGGGATTAATGTAAATAAGAAGCCAGGAAATTACGTTAGTGATGGACAAGCACAGAAGAATCAAGGGCTTATGAGGGAGAGAAAGACAGACTATAAAGACAGTCTGTGGTTTAAATAAAATGCTACAATGTGACTTGGAACTGACTTCAAGAAACATTATTTCTGGAATAAATGTTAATCTTTAAGGACTGATCCACAACTGTCTTCAATAATGAGCCAAAGTTATGTATTAGGCTTTTTCTAAATACCTGTTTCAGTTTTGGTATTGCATACCAAAATACTAGTACTTTTTTTTAATGAGATGTTTCACTTGAAGGAATATTTGCTAATCTTCCCTGGTATTGTTGTTTACACTGTATTTCTAAAAAAATTAAAACAGGCTATATATTATCAACAGTTTTTAATTCATCAGAGTTAGGTAGAAAGTCGTCAGGGCCTCCTTGTGCCCAAAAGGAAGCCAACACACCTCCTACGTAGAGCAGCTACATCTGTCTCAGGGCCTTATACAAGTAGCCTTGTTGGCAGCTACTATAGTCTGAAATGAGCAAATCATGTTTATCAATGCTGTTATATTTGGAAACTCGTCACAGCTGGCTCCCAAGAGGGGTGGATCTACATCCTAGTATGCAAGACTTCCATTTCATGACATAAACTGAGAGAGCCCATGAATCCAAGAAATGTTTCCCCCAACAAAGCTTTCTGTCAAAAGGCACAAGTTATCTCTCTACATCTGTGCTGTGATGCTCTGCTTTGGCTAGTTTGAACCAGGATTTTGCTCTCTCGCTCTCTCTCTCTTTTTTTTCATTATAAAAATCTCAGATTCCCTCTTCAAAGTTTCTTCATGTTATCTCAGTTTGGGAACCAGTAGCTCAGAATACAAGATAGAATACAGCACAACTGTTACAGGCACTGCCTATGCCATTGCCTACATATTTGTCAGGACGGCAGTAAATTAGTTCATAACATACCAAGGTGCCTAATTGCTCACCAGACAACTACTGATTATAATTATGACCATTACATAAGTAAGTAAGTAAGTAAGTAAGTAAGTAAGTAAGTAAGTAAGTAAGTAAGTAAGTAAGTAGGTAAGGAGGTAAGGAGGTAAGGAGGTAGGTAAGTAAGTAAGTAAGTAAGTAAGTAAGTAAGTAAGTAAGTAAGTAAGTAAGTAAGTAAGTAAGTAAGCTTCTCAGTCTTCCCCACGATCAGGATTTCAATGTAGTCAGGACTTGCAAGCCACGGCCACATCTCAGGGCTTCTCAGTCTTCCCCATGATCAGGATTTCAATGTAGTCGGGACTTGCAAGCCACGGCCACATCTCAGGGTTCTGCTTGGCAATCCAAGCCCACAGCAGGTGCAAAGCCAGAGCCAGTAGCTCTGAGCTATTGGGAAAGCACAGAAGCTTGTGTCTGCATTGCGGGGGGGGGGGCGCACAACCCAACCCTGCATAGAACTGGAGAGGAAGGCAATAGCTTGTCCTCGCCCTTTCAGGGAAAAAGTCTCAGGCCAATCTTTGAAGGTTGCCTGGCATGGGCTGATACCTTCCTGTTTGGTCAAATTATTGTATATTGTAAAAAAAAAAAGTTTCAGGCAGGCTTTGAAATGTCTGGTTCTACTCCCTGTCTAATGCCAGTGTTACAAAAGCTGCATTCTGTCCCATTTCCCTTGGTCAGAGCACTCAGGATTTCTGAGTCTTCCCTGCCTCCTGGCCCACCTTGATATCTTCTATCTTAATGTCAAGCATTTCCTCTGGCTCAGCCACTTCCGCCCAGTGATTCAAGTCCTCGTCTTCCTGGGGGGTATCGAAGATTAGTTCAAAGAATACCAGCTTCTCTGAGATGGTGCTGAAGGAGTTGTCGAAGCACAGCTTATAATCACCGCCCTCTGTAGGTTCCACTCTGCAAGTAAAGAAGGAGAAAAAAACAGCTGCGAAGCTGAATCAAGACCTGAATGATAAAAGCATGTATTTTTACCTCAGTTGGACAAGGACAAGGCTAAAAAAAGAGATCATAAGTACCTGTACCTTTCTTTTTTACAAAACAGATACATTGAAATGTTCCCATCTCTACTGCTTCTAAAGGTCCACAAGTGTAGGCAAATAAATGATGCTTTTGATCTTCCTACTAACTTTCTTTCAAATCATATTTCAACTTAATATTGTCAAATCTTGATTGCAGCTTGATCGTACCTCTTTTTTCAAAATGGAGTCATAAGCTTTTTTGTTATCAGTTTTAATATTTCTATTTTCATTTTGTGTTTTCTATGTTATGAGATTGTCATCTGCCTAGAGTAGTGCTACGACACTAAGGGCAGCAGGATACAATGGAATTAAATAATTAAATAATTAAATAATTAGACAGACAGACAGACAGACAGACAGACAGACAGACAGATAGACAGATAGACAGATAGATAGATAGATAGATAGATAGATAGATAGATAGATAGATAGATAGATAGATAGATAGATAGATAGATAGATAGATAGATAGATGAGCTTGGTAGTTTAAGATAATATTCTAAATATATCTTGATTTCAGAAACATTTTAGGTAAGGTCCGTCATGATATTCTTACGGCCACAGTAGGAAAATACAGGGTAGATGATGCTGCTGTCAAGTGGATTTGTAGTGAGTTGACCAATCATACCCAGAGCGCCCACCAGTGACTCCTTGTCATCCTATAGATCAGTGGTCCCCAACCTTGGGCCTCCAGATGTTCTTGGACTACAACTCCCAGAAGCCTTCAGCACCAGCTCTGTTGGCCAGGATTTCTGGGAGTTGAAGTCCAAGAACATCTGGAGGCCGAAGGTTGGGGACCACTGCTGTAGATAAATGATAAGCAAGGGGCCACAGGATTCGGTCCTGGGCCAAGTGTTCTTCTGTACCTTTTTATAAACAAGTAGGATGAGGGTGTGGAGGGAATGCTCATCAGATTTATAGATGACAAGCCAACCAAAGGGAATAGCTAATACTTAAGAAGACAAACTATGTGCCGTCAGGTCAGATGTACGGCCATCTTTTTCATGGTTTTCAAAACAGCAAATACCCTGTATTTGGTTTATCATTTCCTTTCTTCCAGGGTCACCATAAGGCTGTGCAGCTTGCCCAGGGCTATGCAGGCTGGCTCTCCTTATAGGAAGCACAGTGGCAGAATCAAACTCCTAACCTCTGGGGTTCAAACCAGACTATTAGATGTATTTTTAATAGTTATAGGTGCAGAAGAAAGGGACTAAAATGAGGGCTGGGCTGCATCACTTCCTTTATGAGGAAAGGCTACAGCGTTTGGGGCTCTTTAGTTTAGAGAAAAAGCCCCTGAGGGGGGGACATGACAGAAATGTATAAAATTATGCAAGGGCTGGATAAAGTGGATAGAGGGAAGCTCTTTTCCCTCTCACACAATATCAGAACCAGCAGACATCCTCTCAAACTGAGAGTTGAGAGAGTGAAAAGAGACAAAATAAAATATTTCTTTACCCAGCATGTTGTTGGTCTGTGGAACTCCTTGCCACAGGATGTGGTGATGGCATCTGGCCTAGATGCCTTTTAAAGTGAATTGGACAGATTTCTGGAGGGAAAGTTCATTGCAGGTTACAAGCCATGACGGGGATGTATAATCTTCAGGCTTAAAAAGAAGGTACCTCCAAATGCCAGATGCAGGGGAGGGGTATCAGGAGACAGGTATCTCGTTGTCTTGTGTGCTCCCCGAGGCCTCTGGTGGGGCCACCGTGAGATACAGGGAGCTGGACTAGATGGGCCCTTGGCCTGATCCAGCAAGACACTTCTTACATTCTTATGTAAATATTAGTGTGCTACAGTTCATAAAGCCAATTTGCAAAATAACGTGTTCAGGAATAACATCTGGGATAGATGTCTGGATTGTCTGAGCTGTTCAGAATACATTATAAATCTAATACTAATCTAATAAATCTGTAATCTGCTTTACAGATTACTAGACTTCACAACTACATTTTGAGTAAACTTTTAAGCCATGGGTTAAAATGAGCTCATAGGGGGGGAAATAGCCTGAAGAGTAAACTTTCTTGTTTTTTCTCTTTGCAATCTAATGGAAGGGAGGGATATATCATTATACATGAAGACATATAGTTTGCATTGTATAGAAATGTGTAAACTGGATGTCTTCAGAGGAAGGTTGCTTTCCTAGATTCAAATGTCAAGATATTGTGCATATTTCCCGTAACTGTGCACCACTATATGTTTCAGTGTAAATGCGCCATGGTGAATTTCCTAGGATCCTCATGTGTGCAAGCTGTGTCCTAAAATGCAAACTTCAGGTTCAAAGGACATGCAAAGACATTTTAAAGTGAGGAGGGAGAGAAAGCCTTTGAAAAACAGCTACAAGCTGGCCACTCTCTTGAAGTTATGTGTGTTTTGTACCATCAGGTGCCACTGACGGATGGCGACCGTAATAGGCTTTTAAAGGTATATGAGATATTTAAGTAGCAGTTTTACCATAGTTTTACCATTGTTACTATTACCACCTCTACACAAGAATTGCAGGTTGTTCATGACTTTGTGTACCTTGGCTCAACGATCTCTGAAACTCTCTCTCTAGATGTCGAGCTGGATAAATGCATTGACAAAGCAGCTACCATGTTCTCTCTTGACTCACAAAGACAGTATGGCTTAATAAGAAGCTGATGGCATATACCAAGATCCAGGCCTATAGAGCCTGTGTCCTGAGCACACTCCTGTACTGCAGTGACTCCTGGACCCTTTGTGCATGGCAGGAGAGGAAGTTGAACATGTTCCATATGCATTGTCTTCGACACATTTTTGATATCACCTGGCAGGATAAAGTTCCAAATAGAGTAGTCCTAGATCAAACTGGATGTTTAGCATGTATACATTACTAAAACAGCGACGTCTACATTGGCTTGGGCATGTTGTGAGAATAGCTGGTGATTGGATTCCAAAAGATCTCCTATATGGAGAATTAGTGCAGGGAAAGCACCCCAGAGGGAGACCACAGCTGCGATACAAGGATATCTGCAAGTGGGATCTGAAGGCCTTAGGAATGAACCTCAACAGATGGGAAACCTTGACCTCTGAGCGTTCAGCCTGGAGGCAGGCGGTGCATCACGGCCTCTCCCAATTTGAAGAGACACTTGTTCAGCAGGCCGAGGCAAAGAGGCAGTCCGGAAACCAGCAAAATCAGGGAGCTGGACAGGGGACAGATTGTATTTGTCTTCAAGGGATTGCCACTCTCAAACTGGCGTTCGCAGCCACACTAGACGCTGTTCCAAGATCTCTATTCAGAGTACATTACCATAGTCTCCCAAGACTGAAGGATGCCTACTAGAGGTTTTACCATCCATTTACACACACACAAGGGATGCAGATGGCGCTGCAGGTTAAACCACTAAGCCACTGGGCTGTTGATCGAAAGGTCAACAGTTCAAATCCGCACAACAGGGTGAGCTTTCATTGCTTGTCCCAGTTCCTGCCAACCTAGCAGTTTGAAAGCATGCAAATTTGAGCAGATGAATAGGTACTACAGTACCTTGGTGGGAAGACAACGGTGTTCCAGGTCTAGCCATGCTGGCCATGTGACGAGCACCAGCCCCTAAAGTCAGACACACCTGGACTTCATTGTCAAGGGGAACCTTTCCCTTTTGACACATACAAATATAAATTCCCATGGTCAAGCAGGACTTTGAAGCCAAGCCCCATTGACTCCTAGTTGTTACTCCATTCAGTGCACCACCCTCCAGTTATGAACTACCAAACAGACCCTCATCCCATGTTGACTTTGTCAAATAAAGTACTGTACTTTACTTTATCCTAATCTTCATTTTATTGTATAATATTTGTCGGAACATCTCTCCCAGAAAGCAGCTACCCATTTCACATGCTCCTCCCAATCCACAGTGTCAAAGGTGGCCACTCCATGGGATGCTAGTAAAATATTAAACCAACCAACCAACCGGTAATCTTAGAAGAGAACATAGTGTCTGCTATCATGAAGGGTCCCTGCACTTCTGAATTTGCCACTACTCTGCTGATGGTAAGGACAACCATTCTCACGAAACAACTTCCTTCATCCGTGCCAGCAGATCCAAAAGGCATTGCTGAGGCAACCCCAAGAGGAAGGAGCAGCGTTACTCACGTGTGCAACCCATCGGATCTCCGGAACTCCTCGACCAGCAAAGCGCCCGACGGGCTCGCCAAGGAGAAATCCACGTCCAGTCCCGCCCCGCCAATCACCTGAAAAGCACCCAGAAGGGAGTTTGGAAGGAAGACACCCGTGTCCGGCCACCACCACCACCACCCCTCAAGTGGCCAAGGGAGGCCAAGCTTGCCTCCATCAGAAGAAGCGCTGGGGCACAACAAGCGCCTCTCGTCCCGCCTGCGCGCGCTTGGGCAGGACTTGCACGCTTAAGAAGGGGTCCGCGCAAAGGCAGCTCCCACCCCATCGATCCGGTGGGCCCCTGTGGCTGCCACGCCAAGCATCTCCCCAGGCCCTGGCTTGCTCAACACACACACACACACACCACACACACACACACACACACACACACAGAGTCACACCTGGTATTCGACTTCCATAGAGCTGTTGCCCGGCGCCACCTGGTAGAAGCATTCCCTCCTCCCGGCCGGCAGCAGGAAGGTGAACTCGGCGTCCTGTGGCAGGGCCGGGGGGGCCCCGGCTGCCTGCAGGGATCTCCCGGGGGCCCCCCAAGCCAGAACCAGCAGCAGCGGCAGCCCAACCTCCACGGCGGCCGCGGCCATCACGCAGGTCTCGCCCTCCCATCCGGAAGGGGAACGGCTTGCTTGGGTGGACCCCGGGGAAGGGGAAACCCGCGGCCCGCCTCCGCTCTCGGGCGAGAGGAGGGCGGGGGCTCGGAAGGGAAAA